GTTGCAAAGACCACCGACCAGCTGGAATTGTAATTAGATTTTATGTAAAGTGGCTTTGGGAATACAAATAAAAAATGAAGGCAAACTGAACAATTACAGCGTGGCCTGTTTACTTTTGTGATTTAGCATCGCACGCTAGCTAATTTCCCGCGCTAACCCGTGTAGCGGAATCAAAGTGTGTGGCTACGTGCTCTACCCCAGCACCCGCGAACACAGGAATGTTAAGCGTTATAATTAAGTGCTGAGGCATGCTGCTCGTGCTTAACTGACAGATCTTCTCAAAGGTCCTTCAGGGGGGGATCCCTCTTGAGCGGAGCGGAACCTTCCCCCCCCCCGCCCACCATGCTGCTCTCTGGCCTTTGTGTTTCGCTGACCAGCCCAGCTCTCGCAGTGATCGGAGAATGTTCTCAAATTACAGCTATGCTCCCGGAGGAGAGACGGTTGTTCCTTCCACAAGCCCCGCCTCCTTTAATTCGGGATGTGCTTCCCGAGAGCCGAGTGGTTGACAACACGCTAGGCCTTCCCTTCGCACCAAATGGCGTTTCCTTATTCATACCCCCGTCTCACCTCTTGGAAACGCCTCAGCTATTAGCGGCCTGCTGTCAGCGTGCTACCAGAAATGGCCAGATGCAATCCAGGATCCCGGCTGACTGCTAAATACCTCATCATTCTTAGGACTCTCCCCCTTTCCCATTGAAATACTCATGATCACTTCCCCCTTGCCAAGGTATTCATTTTCCAATGGTAGACATTCTTTTGGGCTGTAGCTGAGGAACATGGTGATACGTGTCGATCTCTGCCGTCGTTCTCCTGCCCCTTCTGGGTCTACATGCCTAAGGATGGCTGGAGCATGCTTCTGTTGGGAGTTTGTTTGAGGTGATCACTTTGGGCTCTGGCCCAGAACAGATGTTTCAGTGAGCAGGAATTCCATTAACGGACATCCAGAGATACAAAACCGAGCCTTTAGAACATATTCTCACCTTTCACCTATTTCTGTCTCTTAAATTAGGAACGTATTGACTTTTCAGCTAATACTGGTCTTCTTAAGATAACATCTAAGAAAGTACTACTCAGTATTATTATTTTGCATCATTAATCTGAGAATATACAAGAGTTCATCCATACATCAATTATTTATCCAGTACAGGGTGACAGTCGGGCTGGATCTCATGAAGTACTGGGCACAAAGACTCCTTGGATGGGATACCAGCCCAATGCAGGGCAACAGTAGTCCATTATAAATATTTATAATGCGTAAAGTTTCATTCTGGTGGGGTGGCGAGCTGATGCAGTGGGTAGGACTGTCACCTCACACCAGCTGGCTTGGGAGTTTGAATTCTGGTCCTGCACTGAATGTGTAGAGCTTGAATGTTCTTCCCATGTTATGTAGGTCTCTCCTGCAGTCCAAAGACTTGTCCAGGGTGTTCCTCTGACCTGTGCTCTATATTGCCCTCTAGTGACCTGCACAGAAGAAGCATTTGCAAAATGGATGGATGTCTTTGTATTATGGACAGCAGAGATGATGAAATTTTGTTAAGGGTGCTACATAAAAATGAATGTCTTCAGGTTAGGTCTTCAAGTAGGTGTTTGGCGTTCCATTACTCCTGTCTAGCCATGTCACTGTCGTAACGTAGCATGAATGTGTTGCTAGCGGAGTTAGCGGATCCAAGTCGGCGGGCAGCTTCGTCCTCCAGCCCGGCCCTCCTCAGGCAGCCGCTGTTTGTAGAGCATCATTAACAAATGGTCCTAATAAAGCCAGCCTTTGTTGCCGGGGAACATTAGAATGTTAATCTTAAAATTACCCTGCAATTTTCCAGATATTTCTTGATTGCATAATGACGGGTTAGCTTGCAGATGTGTGCTAATTGAGTAAAAATGCTTTTCATCTGTCGTGATATTCCATGGGTTTTACAGCGCAGATTTTGCCCCGTGTCTCTGCACAGTCACCAGCCTCTACTTGTCCTCAGCCGTGCTGTTTGGGTCACTCAGCAAGCCTTGCCATCCCCTTCCCAGAATTCCTTTGTAACCCAAGACAATCTTCAAGAAGTCTTCCTTGTGCACTCGACATTCCACGCTGACCTACCTCGTGAATTAAAAAGACCCGTTTAAAGCGTGAAGCTGAAATGAACCACTTTGAAAAGTGGGCCATCCAGGGTCACTCCTTGACCCATTCCATAGATCTCTGGTTGACCAGACAATGGGCCAACTGTCTCCTTCCACTGACACGGGACTGACGTGCTTCTTCATGACCTCCCACCGTGAGGTACAGGCGGCCAGCTGGACTGAGGAGTTTGCTTTTGCTCCTCATCCACCTGCTGCCCTTTCATTCTGACTTCCAGCATCCACCATAAGCTTTTCAGTGTGTCAGTGCTGCCATTATCTTCATTTAAATCAGCCCGTAACATTGTTGCTACATCTTACCGTGTGCCAAAGCCCGGGGTGAGCTGGAAAGGGATTATGTCTTGCAAGGAGACATTGGTTGATTTGTTTATGTTACTAACATTATGCCAGGTGTGTAGACTAATGTAAGCAATAATGCCATATCCCAGTAACTTTTGGTTATTTGGTTAGTTTTCTACTCAACTTTTATGCTATAAAACCCAGCTGTTAAACAGCTGTTTAATCATTGTTTAAAGAGAAATAAATGCAATCCTGTACACACAGTGTACTTTTGTTCATTGTTTATTTCATTTTTGCATATTTTTATTCATTTTTTTCGCCGTGTGTTCAGTCTCGTGACTGAGAGTCAGCTCCACGGCAAACGTAGCGGTAGAGTCCGCCAGCCTTCCCTAGCGGCTCGTAGTGCCATGGGCTCCAGCAGCGGGCAGTTACCGCGGCGACGCGCGTCCCTCTTTCATCAGGATAATAACGTAATGGCTGTTTACACTAAGCTCTATTCCCCACCTGCCTTTCGGTAGCCGGGTGGCTCTGAGTCACATGACTATGGCCACAGTTTACACCCTGCTTTCATTAAAGCAGCCTTGTTTTCTCTGTATTCTATAATGCTCGAATGCCTAGGGGGGGGTGGGCAGCTGTTTCTTTTCCTTGCTTGGGAGTTTTTGGTTCCTCTTCCCCGCTGTCTTCTGGCATTTTTTCTTTCCCTTTTCCCCGTTTTATGCACAAGTCTGTATAAATGACGTAGTGATGGATGGCCACACACTCTTCGTTAAATGCCACGGGGTCACTGTGTTATGAAAGGCGCTATATAAAATTTTTTTGGATTGAATCTCCTTTCAGACCTGCAGGGTCACTGTGTTTACACACGCGTCCAAATTACAGTTGGTCTCATGTTTTTTCCTCTGTGTGAAAAGTGGTTAATTATCATTGTTGACATACCGCAATGAAATGTGTCCTTTGCATTTAACCCATACGTGACACAGCAGTGGGCAGGTATTATTTAGCACCCAGGGGGCAGTGTGTGGGGGCGGTACCTTGCTGCTCAGGGACACTACAGACCCTCATAAGCTATACCCCAACTGGGCTGCCTGATCATCCTCTGGCCTGATTGTAGGGAAAGCTGACAGAAGCAGCCCCCCCCCCCCCCCCTCACGTGACTGGCTTGTCGTCTAACTCAAACAGCCGCGAACCTGTTTTCACCTAATTAAACGGCCTTGTTTTCTAACGCTGTGCTCCCATTATGGCAGGTTAGCACCTAATTAACAGCGTCATACCCCCCCCCCTCTCTCTCTCTCTCTCTCTCTCTCTCTGTCCAGGCTTAGCTTTAAAGCTCACTCAGGATTCTCCTCTCGACACCGTGTGAGGCCATGTCCTCACAAATGCCGCCAGCCCACTTCCTTTCTCGCTTTATCCCTGCAAACGGAAAGTATTTGCAAATCTTTCATCCCTGGGGGGCGCCGCTGCTCCATCTCAGAGCACCGTATCTCTCTGCCACTAGCCGGTGACGATCCAACATAAGGAACTCGCACCCCAGCTGGGAAATGAACCAGCCTAAAATTCCTCTCTACTTTATCATGTTCATCCAAAGCGACTGATATTAGGGGGAAACCGAGATTTCACCATGACCTTTACATTGTTAGCGCAATGCTCTACTTCTTAAACTACAGGAAATACTTGTTCCTTGAATGAATCGGCAGTCGTGCAGGTGGATGTCGTGAGGAGTATCTGGAATGGTGTCCTGCTGACCCGGTGATGCCCCCGTCTTAAAAATAAACAAAAACAAACACGCCTCCTCCTGAAATCACTAGCGTGTGGCTAACCCAGACAGCCTTGCTTCCTGCACCGCCCGCGAGTTTTCTGAGGTGCTAATTAGCAGCTGTGAATAACGAGCCAGTCGCGGGTGCCTCCAGCATTCCAAGCTACTGCTGATGAAAATTTATTGCCCTTTAGCCAAGACCGAGTAGATGCAGAGTGACATATTACTCAGCCGATTTTAAATGCACACATCTGTGTACGTTAGTGTCTTTTGCTCTGGGAGAAAGGAAAACTAGCTTAGACAAAGAGCTTGTAAACAACCCAGTGGGACTGGTTGGGAGCGGGTCCATCCGTACGGCAGGTCAGATTTGGGGGGGGAATGTGTCCCACCTGCAAGGCTGCCTAATCGCTTCCAGGAGAAACTCGGATTTGCTGTCATGGGCAGTGATTGTTTTATTTTGCCTGGCGTGTCCCAAACACTCATTCTGTGCCGCGAAATGCCGTTATTGTCTCTCTCGGGCCAGAGCTGTCATCAGATATTAATAAGCGGGTACGGATGTGCTTTAATGAAATTATGCAGTTGTTCTAAATCCCTTTCTTGGAAGTGTTTTATGAAGCGCTCATCAAAACCATATTAAAGGTGGATTAAATTTAGGGGTGAGACCAAACATCTGATTTGGTGGAGGGGGGGGGGGGGAGAGATTTCGGTCTTCAAGCTCAGTGCTTTGCCTGGCTGGCTTTAGCAAACGCCAAGCCTCATAAAGCTGTTCAATTTGCAGGGTAGGGATCAAGCTGCTCTTCTTATGAGCTAAAGCAATTACACGATGATTGATTTTTCTGTCTTGCAGGCACAGATGTCCCCCATGACCCCAAAGCAGTGTCCACGGCTTCATGGAACATCTCCAGCGAACCTGAGAAAGGTGCATGTCGACGTTTCTGGATTTGTTTATTTGATTTTTTTTTTCTCCCTGTCAGGTTGTGCAGTGTGATAAGTACACAGCAGCTGGGGCAGACTCTGTGTCTGTAGGTTCATTCTGTTTAGATTTGATGACCAGATGGTTCTAGCGGAGGCTAATATCAGCACGCTAATATCAGAAAAGCCAGTGTTACGGGCCATGGCACTACACGTCTTAACAAAACGATTCCCTCGGCATTTTCTCCCCTTACTTAAGCAGCATTTGTTACAGGGGCCATTGTAGGATTTTTTTTAAGGTGGGGGGTATAAAAGGGGCCATAATTCATACAGAGGGGCCAACCTTATCATTAGCCAATGATATGTTTTGAATTGATGAGTGACAGGTGAAGGGGCACCAAGGGCCAGTCAGATTTCAGCTGTATGTACCCCCTTTGTTCGCACAAGATCCTTTTTACCAAACCTATACGATTATGATGATGAATTTCAACACCATCGTGTTCCTGAAGTCCATGTTAACTTGCAGAAGAGTTGCCTACCAGGGTGGCTGTGTGTGTCTCTGTTGTCCTTGGGCTAGAGCTCATTTTGCTGAGAGTTAAATGCACATTCACGCTTACGCACAAACATGGACATGCTGCTACTCTCCCGCTAGCTTGACACGCTAATAAGGCTTTGGAGTTTCCCTTCTACTAACAAACCCAAACCAAAAAAAAACACCCCATTTGCCATCTGTTTTCTTAGCTGTGAACCAGATTAGATTTCAGCTTCGCTCCCGTCTTTCGAGTCCAGCGTATCGATATTAGTTGGTATTAACAGATGACTCATTGCAGCCAAATAACCGCGCAAGTCCAGCCTATGGATTTCGCAAGTCTGAAAGGACGTTTATTTGAACATCATCTCTGTTATTTGGATTTAATTTTCCTCACTCCTGTGATGTGGATCTTCTGGCTGTCAAGCCCCTCAAAAAAAAACAGACCAACTGAACTCAAGCAGGGCTAATCAAACTGAACTTATTTAGTCTTGCATGATGTTAATGAACACTTGATAGGCAGCGGTTTGAATTTTAAAATTTTTTTTTGGGGGGGGGTTGGGTTAGCTGCCTGCTCCATCATGGCAAGGGGTCATCCCATGAAATTTGGTTAAGAAGAGTTGTTGTGTACGAACGTTGGCACAGAGGTGTAGCATTTTCCTTTTGAGCTGATGGATTCTGGAACAGTCCCAGAACACCAGTGCCACAGAGTGAGCGGGAGACACAAAGGGAAATATCTGGGGTTTAGGCCATGTTTATTACACAAAGAATATGTCTAGCGGTGCAAGTCTCAAGCAAAGAAATTTGTGACTGTTCTCCAGATGGGTTTCTCCAGACATCCATTTTGTGGGCCGCTGGATAAAATTACCACAACTCCAGCCCAAAGGTCTGCCCTCTTCCTCTCATGAGGGCTGGCGGGGGAGGTTGGGATGTAAAATAAACAGCCCCCCCAACATTTCAGACCACGTTGTCTGATTCCTCTGACATTATATCACATCATAACATTATTTTCACAACCATAAAATGTTAAGATAACACTGCAGTTTCCTTCTGACTTTCTATACAATGCGGCCATTATATGGGATAATTTTGACGTGTACGTTTTATTACCCAGAGAAGTGAGCTGTCAAGATGAAGCAGAATCATGCTTTTTTAAGCTCCTGTATGTATGAACTATGGAGTCCACTGAAGTGGATCGATCAAGTCATGTGGAGATGCAGACAAGGGTGATTAAAAGAACCGTTGTTTAGTTACTGCATCTTCAAGGGGAGTCCGGATACAGGAGTGAGACACAGACACAGCAGGAGGTCACCCCTCAGACACTCTTTAGCAGGGGCAGATACTGGGGCGGGGCCAGAGGAGGACCTGACCCCAGCTGTAAGCTGATTGGCCCCTGAAGTGCCTCTAAATATTAATCTCATTTTAAACAAGGGCATGCAGCATTTTAAGGGATGAATGAATGAATGTTACATTTATGTAGCGCTTTTCATGACACCCAAAGCGCTTTACAGAACCAATGGGGAGCCACTTCAACCACCACCGCTGTGCAGCCCCCACCTGGACGATGCGACAGCAGCCATTCTGCACTGGTACACTCCCCACACTGTAGATGTCATCTCTTTGCCGTTCCATGTAGTCTGATTAATCGGCTGATGCCAATTGCCATAAGACGCTTAAAAATTGGCCTTTTCTTTTTGCTAGCTGATCGATTGGTTGACCTCTAGTTACCAAGCTGCAGGTGGCTGGTTAGAGGGCAATACGATTGGAGCCCAAAAATACTAAATGCACGATGTTCGCAGGAAGGCTCTCGTCTGAAATCTCTGAAAATATACCCTGATGTTCCCTCTTTTAATCACCGCCGTGCATGTTCTGACACTGTAGACTATATGGTAATTGGCTATGTAATTAATTAAGTTCCAGCAACAGGTAATTTAACTGCACAAATGTTTTATACCAGCCAGCCCTGAAGCTGTCACCATGTTGCAGTTGCCTGGAGGGGTTTGCAACTAAAGCCTTGATGGAGAAAGAAAATGCTATAAATTAGCAAGGAGATGTAATTACAGACCTTAGAGTCTTTTACATAGATTCACTTAATTACCATCCACTTTCTCCTCAACAATCATACAGTCTGGAAATATGAAGAAAAAAAACGGTTAATAAAGTAGCTTACACATTCAGTCATTTCAGTGTGAATCCAGGGAACATAATGTTTGGTTAAGTATGTATTTCTAAGGATATGTTATTATTTTCTGTGTAAAGTTCACAGAGACCTAAGAGTGTCCTCTTCAGGAGGGCGATGTGTTGGATTTGCCGTGTAGATGTCGTACACACAGCTGTGGAGGCTAGTCCCCAGAGGCCGTGTAGATGTCGTACACACAGCTGTGGAGGCTAGTCCCCAGAGGCCGTGTAGAGAACTGCGCACAAAATGTTTTCATTAACGCGCCTTTCAAAGTCACATTCCTGAAAGTATCCCTCACAGACGGACGTCTTTCATACAAATATGTCTCTTCGGGTTTCATCTGAGGGGAGACGGGAGATAATCCATTGTTTGAGAAAAACATTTAAAAAAACATTTAATATCACGTTAGTTTCTCAGAAGTCACTTATTCTTTTAACGGAGGGGGGTGTTGGAACGCGATGGGAAGATAAAAATCGCGTATTTTATGAAAGTTGGCCGACGCTATTCAGGAAAGACCAGCTGCAGAGCCAGAGCACAGGAGCACGCTGGGGGAAGCCCCAAGGAATTCTGGGAAGGCCGGTACTGAAACACTGGAAGATTCACGAGCCAAAAGCTAACTGTCTATTGCAACAATTGCTGAGGGAAAAAAGAATACATACATGCTTTCTGTCGGTATTGTAAATGCCTGTAGGTCCTATAGATGATTGATGGAGTCTGCTGCGGTCCAGGCATGGACTTCTACCAGAGCAAGTCATTTACGCTCCTCCTGGCTTTATTAAAAGTCAGAGATGTCGAGTTTGCTCTGGCACATGGCCAACACCAGGATTGCATCTGGCATGACATGTATAGAGGGCAAACATTCCAGTTTTTCTTTTATGACGTAAGTATGTTAGAGGCCCTCTGGCCAAATGGGATGATCAGAAAACAGCTAATGTTTTGCTACCATGAGTGTAACCACAAGGATGTGGTGTAAAGAATTCCTAACCACCTGTCAAAAAAGTCATATAGACTTGCAAAGACGTGCACACACATGCACACACACACATGCACACACACACAGGCACACACAGGGTCAAGTCTGTCGAGGAGAATTTGCAGCAACACCCTATAAGAAGTGAGACCCAGTTTGATGTGGGTCAGCGTAATTAAAGTCAGGGTTACTGCGGATGATAGAGACGGGTCAGGACGAAATTAAGAACAGTGTGAAAAGATTATTTGTCCTCGCAGGGTGTTTCTCTTTGCGGAAACATTTATTGGCCACCCTGAATTTAAATTTCGTGTGTAATTGAAAGTCAGGAGGCATTATGGTATGACTGTAACAGAGGTGAAAAAGACAGCAGTTTGAGAATTAGGCATCGGCCTCGTAAGCCAACTTCATACCAGATTTTGAATGACATCCATATTCATCTGAAGAAATTCTGTGTTCCAGTTTAGGACGCAGTCCATGCATGTCCTTTATGTCCACCCCCCTTCCACCCCCCACCCCCAGAGGCACCATTACTAAAATTGTATGTGAGGAAGGAGGATGGTGATGATAAAAGTTACTGATTGGGTTGGGGAGGGGGGCGGGGGTTATGGAAGTCAAGAACTGCCGTGCTTGCAATATTTTTTAAATGCCGTTATCTCGAGATAACGAGATAATTATAGCACAGCTGTTCCCGGCTTCCGTAAGGGATTAGATTAAAATGTTATTAATTCTCTCTCAGCCTGGGAGACCCCGTGTACTAAATGGCCCCTGTGGGTATCTGACCCCCCTCCCAGACCACTTCCTGAAGCTGGAGGCCCCCCTGAACAACATCACCACATCGCTGGGCCAGACAGCAGAGCTGCACTGCCGCGTCTCGGGCTTCCCAGCGCCCTCTATCCGCTGGCTGAAGAACGACGCCCCCGTCATGCAGGAGCCGCGCCGAATCTCCTACCGCCCCACCGCCTACGGCTCACGCCTCCGCATCCGCAACCTGGACACTACGGACACCGGCTACTTCCAGTGTGTCGCCACCAACAGCTTTGGCTCCGTCTCCTCCACCGGCATCCTCTTCGTCAAATTCGGTACGTCCAGCCCTGGGGCTGCAGAAGGGGCACGGATGCCCTGGCAGATTCAGGGTCGCCTGGAATACAGTAAATCACACATAGAACATGTACACCGTGTCCTGTATTCTCCGCGTGGCACATTCACACGTGTGTTGACCGTGCCCTACATGGCTACCAGCGTTTCTCCGTGACCACCATGTAATTTGGGATGTTAAAATATAAAAAAATAAAAATATAAAAAGCTTTCGCTTATCTTTCACACCTACGTCAAAAAAGATAAACGATACACTGCTTTGTCAAACTTTTATCACAATAAAATATTAGAAATACTAATATAGAATATAATATAACTGACTGATTTTCAGTATCTTGTAGCTTGTAGTAACACATTATTTAGGCACAAAGGGCTAAAACTATTGGTTCTGAAGAAGACATATCAGATATGCATTGACGTTCACTTTATGTTGGAATTCTGTTTACTAATGTCAGAACTTGATTGGGTCTTGGCTTCTTTTGATTGTGTCTTAATGAAGTAAATGACAGCCACTTGTCTGAATCGGTTTGTGAGGGGCTTAATGCGCTGTCTGCTCCTCATTTCAAACTCCTGTTGGATCTTCTTCAGTATCACAACTGATAAGTCAGAATTTTTGCTAAATATTTGTTATTTTTATGCTTGTAACGGCTAGAAAGGCACAGCGAACAATTGAACAAATCAAAATTTTGAGTTGAAGCAGGGTTCTCTCATCGCCAAATAGAGAGAGAGAGTTAAATCTCTCTAAGCATTGAGTGACCTACTGTGTACAGAGAAAAAGGTTGACAGGAAGCAACAGTGACTAGAAACGGTCTGGGGCAAGGAAAGTAACATCAAAGGCTGAAGACTTAGTTGTGACGTGCAAAAGAAATTGGAAGATGACTGCAGGGGTTTGAGGGCTGCGATTAATGTGAACAGAGGGAAACCGGTGTCTCTTAATACAGTCAAGCAAAGACTGAGAGCAGCTGGACTGCATGGTCGAGTTGCTGCCAGAAAACATTTACTTTGTGGTTAACAAGAAAATGAGACCATCAGCTAAACAACAGAAACACTGGCGTATTCAGGGTTGGGAGCAGGTCCTGTGGACGGACGAAAGTCCATGTGTGGGACAAGTTGGACCAACAAGTTCAAAGTGAGCATCTACAAATGAGACAGAACTGTTTGCATGCTTGGCAAAGTGCTGGGAGGGTTTGGACAGAAGTTATTTCCAAAAAATGCTGGCAAGGGCTGTGATAAAGGCAAGGGCTGGTTATTCTGATGAGACTCGTACTTAGACACTCATTAGACATTCATTAAATAGCACTTACAATGCACAGTAAATCGTTACATTACACATCAAAACCAGTCAGTTGCATTTGTTTTAAGTATTTCTAATATATTCTTATCATTAAAAAGCAGTGTGTCGTTTTATTTTTTTTTTAAATCAGAGGATGAGCCCAAACTTCTAGCCTGTAGTCTATAAAATAAACAATATATATACCTGTATGCATGCATACATACCACAGCCATACAGATTTTAATTTATATATGAATATATATATATGTATGTATGTATGTATGTATGTATGTATGTATGTATGTATGTATGTATGTATGTATGTATGTATGTATGTAAGTATATACAGTACAATCCCGTCATAATGGAATTTAAGGGACCTGGCAAAACAGTCCGTTATATCCAAAGTCTGTTATATTCAGAGTTGCTGTATGCCCAGAACACAACTACAGGACACCATTTACTCATGCCACACCCCAGCAGACACACTTGTGGTATAGATTATTATATTGTACATGTAGTAATCCAACTTTACCTGACTGTTGGAGGTATATATGGCCTATAAGTGGTTATATATGTACGGTACAGTAGTAACCTTGACCTCATTGCTTACTGCATCCCTCCAGCTGCGAGCGTCTTCTGCCGACACACAACGTGCCTGGTGATGGACAGCCACACAGACCAATCAGTGTTGCCTGCTGTTACGCCATACCTATTTATAGAGCATGACTATTAATAATCCCGACTACGTATCTGCGCTGGATATCACCGGCACGCCAGGCGCCTTGTAGGCGGAGCCTGCATGTCCGTTATAGCAAACAAAACTACAGCTAAAAGCGGCCCTGGGGACCAAACTGTCTGTCCGTTATAAGGGAAATTCCGTTATATATAGTCCGCTATATCCGATGCTTTTCCTGCATGTTTGTAAAGGCGCATGGCTGGGACCAGCGGACCTCATCCATTATAGACAATATTCCATTATATGCGAGTCCACTATAATGGGATTTTACTGTATACGTAAACATATATATATGCGTGTCTGTATATATATGTTTGTATGATTGTATGTATTTATATATATATATGTATATATTAATTTATATATATATATGCATGTATGTGTGTATCTTTGTATGTGTGCATGCATGTATGTGTGTATCTTTCTATGTGTGTATGCATGTATGTGTGTATCTTTGTATGTGTGCATGCATGCATACATATTGCACAAGACCAGAACATGTGCCGTCCGTAGCAGCATCAGCAGTAATGATGAACACATACATACAGATACATGCTAATGTGGACACATATATAAATCTCGGCTTCTTTGGTGGCCGTAGGTCCCAGATTTACGGGATTGAGTAGCTGCTTATATGTTGGTGTTGATCTGACTCTCGATCCATGTGACACGGGGGTGAAGCCAGTTTGGACAAGCAGTGCTTCACTCAAATTCGGTCAGCTGGATAAAACCCTTAAGACAGTCTTAGATCCGGATTGCTGCTCCGGGAATAAGGAGGGAGAGTCTGACAGAGGAGTGGCAGAGGCGTCCTGTGGGGCGGGGGGGGGGGGGGGGGGGGGGGGGGGGGGGGAAGGGGCCTTTCAAAATTGACCCAGGGTTTAACGAAAGCAGGCCTCAGGCTTGTTGCAGCTGTCCTGAAGCTGTGTCCTCTCTTCCAGATCCGCACCCCACCCCCGGCGGAGGAAGGCCCTCTCCGTAAGTCAGCTCTCCTCTTCTCTCCTTGAAATCCCTCATATTTTATGCAGCAGATGAATCTTGCCATCTTCAGCTTGTGCCTTGACCTTGTGGTCGGCAGACGGGCTGGTCTGTGGCCTGGAGCGGCACGCTGGGATTCCAGTGGAGGCGGAGCCTAACGCCGCTAGCATTTTAATTTATAGCCTGATTCTCTGAGCGTTTAAGGCAATGCAGGCCCTGGTCCATCGCACGCTGATACACGTTGTTTGTAATTAGAACCCTTCTTATGCCCCTTATTGCCTGTCGTTCAGAAGCTTCTAGATGTTTGGTTTAGTGTGTTTGGTCACATCTGTATCCATACATTCTGTGCCTTCAGGCTGTTTCGGACCTATGGGGCACACCTGGCCTGGCACTCAGCAGGCCCCAATCATCAAGTCCAGATTCTTCAACAGTCATTAATGTCACAATCGATGTAGATAATGTTGGCCTTGCTTATGTATATGTGTAATTTTTAGAGAAACATTGTCTAATTGCTCATCATTTCTTGGGGTCCTTATAAATACAGACTGTCTTACTGCATTTAAAATAATAATAATTTTACCAGTGATTTCCAAAAGAGAGTGCTGAGCTTTTCCTCTGATCACAGGATCTGAACTGCACAATTCCACCGGGAAGCATTTTAATACCCAAACGCAGGGCGGCTGGCAGCTGGCTGATCACCAGCATGTGTTAAAATTATTTAAAGCCCAAAAGACCCGCCTCTGTGCTCAGCCACCAATTACGGGGCAGAGCCTCTTATGTCACTCAAATGAGGTCATCACATGGTTATATTGGCACGTCACCTCTTTTGATGGCTCCGCGGCTTCGTTTCGTCTGGTCGTTTCGTCTGGTCGTTTTGTCTGGATCACAAAGCCCACAGAGCTTCTTGCAAGGTGAGGGTCACATGATCATGCCAGTCAAATGCCCCCCCCCACACACACACACACATTATACCGAGCCTGTCAAAGTTGTCAATCATGGTCGTTCCCCCCGCTCAAAATAGGGTCACCTTGCCTCACACCGGGGCCAGTGAGCTCCGTCGATCAGCTTCCACAAATGCACTGACACTCCCCCCCCCCCCCCCCCCATGGCATCTGTGATCTGACACTGGGGGGGTCGAATCTGTCTCATTTTGTGGTTGGAGAGAAACCGGTTGTTATGGTTAAGTCATGAGAACTTAGAGAGAAGCGACGAGAAAGACAGACAATTCATGGAGGTCAGGAAAAATGGCAGGGGAATTATTATGGGATGCTGGGAACCCTTGGCCTTCTCCTGCCACTGTGAGTGTTTACATAACATCCAAGTTCACTCGTGCGTATTTACCAAGTCAGTGTTTGAGGACATTATTAAAAATCGCCACATACAGTATGTGTGCCCTCTGACGGCCTGGCATCCCACGCTGGATGCGGCTGCTTCCCGGGAAGAGGTCCAGGCTGCAACCACTCTCCGGGAAAGCGGTTACGGAAGATGGCCGGAATGATGGGCAGCTGGGAGTAATGTGAATTTTTTACAACCCCAGTAAATATAACTGGTGTATTATTTTACCATATAAAAGGCTTTCAGTCTGGCTGTTATTCCCAAGACAGACAAGCGTGATGGGAGAGATGGAAAATGGCGGCCCGTGACCCGTAAGGGCACAGGAGACAGGGTGCCCGGGGGTCTTTCCCGGCTTTGCAGCCGTGCTGCTTTCATTTACGGAATGATGATTTATTATAATGTCGGTCCTGTCCTGGCAGGCTGGGCGCCGCCCCGCCCACTCTGGCCTCTGTAGGGAACTTTCTGGGGTTCTGTTTTAGTACCATGACTGCTTTTTAACTGATTTATGAATGCAGTTATAGTTTTATTGTGAAGGTATTTGATTCAGCGCTATGGATGCTGTACTGGGTGTCACACCCCCTTGAAGACCGAGTGATCCAGGGGAGGGAGTTTAACAGAGCCAGCCATGCACCATGCACCCCCCCCTGCCCCCCACGTACCCGTCAGCAAGTCTGTGTGTCACTGTTCAGCGTGTTTTTCCTAATTTCCCGTTCCTGCTTAACGGGGACCACCTGGAAACGGGGCAACAGAATCGGGGGGGGCAGCAGCCCCTTTTTCAGCAGAACAATGGGACTCATTGTCATGCTGGGATGTCAGTCATTTCCTCAGGGCACTTGGCACCCCCCCTCCCTCTCCCCCGCACCCCAGTCACCCTTCCTCCCCCCCGCACACACACACCTCTGGTCGCTCCGGACACGTGCCAGCCCTCCTTCTCTCCAGTTGTCATCAGCCAGGATGAAAATCCATGGGGGGGTACTTGGGGGGTGGGGGGGGAGATGACTACCCATTCCGAAATTAGCTCTTTTGCCAAGAGAAAAACCAAAAACAACCAAAAAAAAGCCCTGAAGAATTGTGAAGGGGACCCAGAGCAATTAGCTTGGAGCCGGCGTGCTCTTTGATGCCATCTTTGATTCCCCCAGTTTCTGGTTCAAAAAATCCTGAGATGGAGACTGTTTGTATGGAAAATAGACCTCATGAGCAAAAGCTGTAGGAATTAATTCAGCCTTTCAGCCGCTGTCATGCGACACGATTCAACACCAACAGGCGGCTTATTCCATTCACATGAAATTAGAACAAATGAACTCTGTTAGGAACTGAAGGGATTACGTTCCTTATCAAAATAGTGTCGACATGATGGAAACTGACAAGGTGTGAGTGTAGAGTTGTAACTTCAGAGAGCCTCCATAACACATACAAAGGTGGATATTGTATCCCGGTGTGTCTGATTAGCTCACTAATACGCGACGTGTGTTCACCGGTGTTTGCGATCAAATGCGATCTTTTCTGCTGGAAAAGACAATAATGTCCTAACTAGCCTGTCTGAAACGGTTACTCTTTCCCAGCTTCTCTCCCTTTCTCTCTGTCTGTAGTGAAATCAGTTAAATAATAAGAATATTCCGAGCCCCAGTTTCCCCGCTCTGGCTTTGCAAACCAGCTCGGCCCTCATTTTTAACAAAGACCAGATTCTAGCCTTATTGTGTGAGGCGGTTCCTCCATTCTCTTCAGGAGGCAGACATGGCTGTTGCGTTCACACAGAAAGAGCTCCTTAACCATTGCATTTAATTGACCATCTGTGTCCCCATTTTCCTTGAGGAAAGTTATTTCTGCAGACTTAGTTCAGCCTGGGTTTAGCCTGGGTTTAGCTAGGTGGAATACGCTCACTGTTTACAGACTTGCTATTGATGAGAGTACAACTATATGGGAGGGTGATCGCTTTCTTATCCAAACCTCTGAAGCGGCCCAACATAAACCTCAGGTGCAGTTCAGATAAATCACAGCATAAACCTAAGAAGCAGATCAATGTAAACCTCACATGGAGTTTAGTATAAACCTCTGAAGCAGTCCAACATAAACCTCAGAACGAGCTCAGCATAAACTTCATAATGAAATGTTTGAGCACCGTGTGGAGCCCAGTGTAAACCTCAGAATGAGCTCATTATAATCCTCATAAGGAGCCCAGTCTGAACCTCAGGAGAATCTCTCTGTAAAGCCGAGTTGCTCGGCCGCTGCTTGGCTGCAGACTCATTTAGGCAGGTGTTGATGGATTCGGGACTCGGGGTCTGAATATCAGCCACGAGGGAGGTGTCCTTGCTGACTCATACAGAGACGGAGTGTGAAACGCAAGCCAGCTTAGCCCATCTGTCAACCACCCCCCCCCCACCTTGCGAATGTGCACCAGTCCTGTATAGATCTCATTTGTGCAGCCGGGCTAGATATGGGGACCCTGGGTAGACCCCAGTCAGTCACTACGGGGACATTAGCGTCCCCCAGATGTCCCACCATATGATTCTGATAAATCTGTTTATTCCGTCACCACCCCAGGTGGAGAGCTCAAGCAGGGCTAGGAACTTTAATCCTCCCAGAAAGATTGAAAACCCCCTCCCTGTCACCATCTGAGGGGGGTGTGGGGTTGACCTGCAGGGAACACAGTTGCTTTTGGCCCCCTTCTGTAGATTTACATGAGAAACGTCGGGGAACATTGGGGGGGGGGGGGGGGAC